ACCTGCGCGCGCCCGCTCGCCGGAACTGGCGCCGCGCCGCCGGCTCCGAGCGCCTTCCGCCCTGCGCGGGGTCCGCGGGCGGCGGCGAGGCCGGGCCCGGGTCACGCCTGCCGGCCCAACATGGCGGCGGCGCGGCCGGGCGGGCTGTGAGGGGGCGCGAGCGGAGAGGAGCCGCTCCGAGGGGTGCGGGGCTTTGTCTCGGGGCCGGTCGGGCTCCCCGGAGAGGCGCTGACTGCCCGTTCCTCCGCACCCTTTGTCACCCGATGGTAAAATCTCAGCCCGGCCGCGGAAGCCGGCGGGGCGGTGCTGACACCCTGGTCGCGGTCCAGAAACGTTCTCGCCTGGCCTCTCTCCGAGGCCGGGATCCTGTCCCTGCCCCAGGAGCTTCCTGTTGACTGTAGGTCGAACCAGCCTTGCCGGGAGAGGAGCCGAGGCCGGGTTGTGTTGGCAGCTCTCCCGGGAAGGGTGGCTTTCACTTAGCGCTGGCAGCACAGCGTTTGATCCTAGGACTGGGGAACCCGGACAGGCACCGTGGCTCTGCTTGGAAACTGAGCTCAGGGCCCCTCAAGTGGAGAAGCCGGGCTGAAGGGGTTTTCCTTGCACCTTCTTCTACTTCGCCTGGTAGAAAAGGAAGGGTTCAGAAGGCACTGGGGCTAAAGATGAGAGTCAAGGTCAAGATGCGCTCCGGCTAAAAAAACCGCTTTTGCCTTGTCACACTCTCAATTTCCCTTTTGTATTTCCTCTTTGATGGGGTTATCCGAAGCATTAATGTGGGACTCTGGTTTCCTTTGTGGTTTTCAGCATAGTTCAGAATCATCTTCGGCATATTCTAAATAATACTATCAACTATGTCAGTATCCTGGTGTTCTAGGAACTTAAATTCATAAAGTTTTTAAAAGTTTCTTCAAAGAAAGGTATGGGAACCCACATGAACAGCTACTTTCCATTGACTGGAGCCTTTTAAGTTTCTCATATAGGTGTATATTCCATTTTTCTTGAAACTAAAGCATTAATTACTTGAGCTAACCTCCCGATATAATAGAAGTATATTTATGTCCCTAAACTCTCTCAATCTCAAAAACAAAACAAACAGTCCTCTCAATGTTACTTTAATGTGTTTTGAATTTGTTTTGTGTTTTGTTTTTTTGCTTTACTTAGTTTTTGAGACAGGGTCTGATTGAAATAACGGGATGAGCTAATGGCAAGACGAAGTTATACGTTGTAGGAAGCAGCTCTTGGCTGCCATTTGAAAGTGGGAGTGGAGAGATACAGAAAGGAGAGCAGAGGAGAGCTGGGAGGGAACCAAAATGTCTGGATTATATAGTGAGGAGCCTCTGGGGAAGGGTAAGCCCCACCCCTGAGCTAGGGAATTCTGAGTAGAGGGCAGGGTATGCCGCCACACCCTGCAGCAGGTAGGGACCCAGGGATGCCTGAAACCAAACAGGGTCTTGTGTGGCCCAGGCTGGCTTTGAACTTGCTGTAGCTGAGGAGGACCTTGAGCCCCTGCTTTTTCCTGCCTCCACCTCCTACTTGCTAGGGTTACAAGCAGATGCCATCACACACAATTTCTGTGTTTTAAGGTAGGGAGAGGAGATCAAAATCACATCTACAAATAATAGGTTACATTTAATGGCTATTAATTTTGGAATATTTAAAATGTTTTCAAAGGAGTGACAAAATCTGGGACTTTATGCTGGGAAGTTTTTTGGGGTTATAGAAGTTAGAGCTAAAAACTTGTTTGTGAAATGGACAAGTGAAGGATGTCAGCCCATTTTCCCTTTTGCACAGTGTTCCAGCATGATTAAGGTCCTATCTTGAAACCTCTGGGAAAATCAGCCTTAGGGAGGAAGGGGAAGACCAGGGCAAAGTTTAAACTATGTTCAGTATTTGTAAGACTAAGGTGTTCTGATTAAAATTTATTAGTTCTTAGAATTGCTTGATTGGAAGTTTGAATCATTAGAAATTGAACTGATGACAGTAGAACCTGTGATTCTGCCAGGAAATATTTTTGTTTAGGATAAACTTCTGCTATCAGGCAGAGATCTCCCATCACTAAGGGAAGGCCCTGGTGATGATTTTCTCTTCCTGTCACAGTGGAAAGCCAGCTGCTCTGCACAAGGTGCGTGCAGTCTACGATCTCCAACAACCATCCCTACCACCAGACAAACCTTTCAGGAACCTTAGAAGCAGTATATCCTTGTAGCCACATGATGTTATCTCTACTGCCTTGGCTTTGACTTTGGCTTTGGCTTTTCCAGCTGGCTACGCCTACTCCAAGGATCCAGCTAGGAAGAGCACAAGAGCCTCCCTAAGCTAGTATTTGTAGGCTTGGGCATTTCTCCTTGGGTGTGAGGCTCACTGTGCCAAGCTCTCTGAAGCAGTACAGTGACCCGTTACTTTCTCAAACTTCTAATTTTCGTTACCTTGTACTGGGAATGGCGGATCTGCTTTTACTCCCTCTTAACTGGGTCATCTGAGAACCAGAGTAACAGCTACATGAAAACATGCCCTGCAGTGAATACATGCTTATATGAAGTGCAGCAAATTCACCTGGTCTCCTTTTTATTGCTTTCTCTAGCTTTTAACTTTGTGGCTCCCTGGTCTACCATCTGGCAGTTTCACTCCTGCTTTCTGTCCCTCCTTAGATCCAGGGTTGTTTCATGTCAGTCTAGTTTTTGCTTGGACATGTACTTTGGGTCCATTGACATATTTTCTAACTTCAATTCTTCCAATTTCTTATCCAGTTTGGACCCAAAATCCAAACAAACTAACAAAATCCCCGCTTTCAACTCTAGCTCTTGCAATTCACTCTGCATGCTTTTACTAGGAAGGCTTGCCTACATTTTCAAGCTCGTACTTCAAGCTGACACTTCATTCTGCTCTCTTAAGATCAACTTCTATGCTGAACTTGAACTTGGCATCCTTTGTGTGTCCCCTGTAGATTATGAGAATTAGTCCATGCCAGTATCTGGAGGTTAAGCCTGCTCTTTGAATACCTGTACTACTAACACAGGCTTCAACCTGGAATTCGGGTTACTTGTTTTTAATTTAGGGGAACTTATGCACCATCATGCTTGGGAAGGTGACAGCAGTTTGTGAGAGTTACCACCCCACCACCACCACCACCGCACCCACGTCACCATGTGGATCCCAGGGATTGAATGCAGAGTCTCAGGGTTTGCGGCGAGCACCTTTATTGCCTGAGACATCTCTCTGACCCTCTAGAATTTGGAGTTTTGAAAGTAACTCTTATTACTCTTGGTAGCCATTGATGGAATTTAGAGTCTCATGGCAAAAGACGAGTGTCCAGCACCATGAGTAACCAGCAGCAACAAGCAGCAAGTGTCCAGATGCTTGCATTTCACACGATCCCGGTTGTAGACTCCCCACACCTTCCTTGTTTCCTGACAGAGCCTGCTTCTCTAGTCTTCCTGTTGATTCTCTGAACTTCCTCCAGTAAATTCCTCTGCAGCTTAAAATAAGCCAGAAAGACTGTTCTTTGCAAGTAAGAAACCCAATTTAGACCCCAGCTCTTAGGAGATGGAAGCAAAGAATCAGGAGTTACATGCGATCCACAGCTACATACTGAATTCCAGGCCGACCTAACCTAGGCTCAACCTGTCTGAAACAAAACAAAAACTCCCAAAAAACAGAACCAAAGCAAAACAAAACACAAGTTAGTGTTTACTACTTTATTTTGCTGACTGTCACCTTTGTCCTGTGAAGGCAGGATTTCCTGCTTTCTGCACAGACTAGGGTTGGGTCACTTAAAGGGGAACCGATTTTCACAGAGAGAGGGATAAAGCAGTAGTACATCCAGAGTGGAGACAGGAGCTTGCAGGAGCGCCAACTCAGATTGATGGCCCGCTTGCCAGGCACAAAGCTGACAGTCCTCCTATCTACTTGAGGTAGTCAAGGCTTTGAGATCATGGTCTCACTTTCCCCTGAGCGCTAATTCAAACCTCAGACTCCTGCTCAGCACAGTTTTGGCAGCAGCTATCCTAAATTGGAATATGTTGAAAGCCGTTTGATATGGCCGCCAGATAGGCTTGTCATTTTCTCCCATGACCTGTATTTGCAGTTCTTACAGCCTTCCATGAGTGTTCGGCCTGCGCTTTTCTGATATTTGTAGCTGGTGTGTAATAACTCTGGCAGCGTTTCTAATCTTGAGTTTAAACTCCATTAAACTGCTACCGGCTTGCTACCTCTGGACATCTCTACACATGGGTTAGGAGAAATAGAATCTAACTTTGCTTGAAGGCAAGAAGTTGAAGTTAGAATGTTTACCAGAACTGATGGTTTAGAAAAGAGATTAAATCAGGCTCTACCTTTAAAGTTCACTGAATCAGACCACGAAGCATACAAGATTGATATTAGGGAGCTTTTTATAATTAGATGT